TTCTTCTGACTGAGCTCTGCCCACAGGTAACTACTAAAAAAAGCTATAAGCCAGTGTTTTTCAGCCTGTACGCCGCAGCCCCTCGAAACAAAGGGAACAGATGAGTCGTGAGTAGCTTCAAGTGTGTGGGAACTGAAAACAAGAAGCTGCTGCTCAGCACTGAACACTCGAATGTCTTCTCAGAAAAAACTTTGAAATTTAATAATTTACACCATCCCATTGGATGCTGCTGTGCCCTGTATTAAATAAACATGTTAAAAAGCTGATATGTTTTGCCGTACGTACACATCCCCCTGAGGATCTTCTAAACTAGGAGGTCGGTGAAGAGTCAAAACATGGATATTGCTGCATGGAATATGGCACAGCTGTGCATTCAAATGATACCAGACAACTGGAAACCTCACCATGATAGCTTTATCAGGTGTGGTAATTAAGCTGCCTTGGCAGTTTCAGGCTACAGTGTCGTTATATAATGGTGAGAAGTTTATCACTAGGCTTACTTTCAATGGGCAGGAGTACTAGCTTGCTCGCAGCACATTTGCAGCAATGTTTGACTGCTACACTGCCCTGCAATTCACAGGATCCAAATGTTTGTAGTTTACAAAACCGCCAATCATCTTTCCCATCGACAAAAACTGTTTAGATCCAGAATTCCTTACATGGGCATCACGCAAAAATGCAGACGACACAATAACGACGCAACTTCAGAGGGCTGTAACTAAAGAGATAGAGGATCTATGGAGAGATTGTTTCAGTGAAGCAAAAACAGACTCCTTCAAAATAACTATTAAGTCTTATTATTCAATAGCAGTAGCATCAATATACTACAATCAGCTGTGATGCTAAAACCACCTCCTTGTTTCTACACTCACTGTCCATTTTATCAGCTCCACTTACCACATAGGAGCACTTTGTAGTTCTACAGTTACAGACTGTAGTCCATCTGTTTCTCTACATACTTTGTTAGCCCCCTTTTACCCTGTTCTTCAGTGGTCAGGAGCCCCATGGACCCTCACAGAGCAGGTACTATTTGTGTGGTGGGTCATTCTCAGCACTGCAGTAACACTGATGTGGTGGTGGTGTGTTAGTGTGTGTTGTGCTGGTACGAGTGGATCAGACACAGCAGTGCTGCTGAAGTTTTTAAACACCTCAGTGTCACTGCTGGACTGAGAATAGTCCACCAACCAAAAACATCCAGCCAGCAGCGTCCTGTGACCACTGATGAAGGATTAGAGGATGACCAACACAAACCGTGCAGCAGATGAGCTATCGTCTCTGACTTTACATCTACAAGGTGGACTGACAAGGTAGGAGTGTCTAATAGAGTGGACAGTGAGTGGACACAGTGTTTAAAAACTCCAGCAACACAGCTGTGTCTGGTTCACTCGTACCAACGCTGATAAAATGGACAATGAGTGTAGAAACAAGGACACATATTAACACTTATTAAACCCTTCATGAGCAAGAAAAGCACTAAAATGTGGAGCTCTGTGAACTCCATGGGCTTTTAATATCCCCGTTTAAAGTATCATGAGCTCCATTCGTCCAGTGAAGCCAAGAGACGACAAGAACAAACGCCTGTTGGAGAAAACTGCAGGGACGCGTCTCAAACCACACTCTACTACACTACACTGCACTACTGCGGCTCCTATTTCTCCTAATTGTGACGTCGTGTTTTTAACGCACTATTTAGTGCCTCAGTACGCGGTTTGAGACGGGGCCTCAAACGCAGTCTCAGTTTGAAGGTTTTTAACGCCTTTTTACTTCAGACAAAGCAACAACTTTAAGCACACGAGTGTGGTAAAGCGTCTACCCATCTGTTTGAGCACTACAGGCAAACGCTAATACTGCATTTTTGTGTATTAACATAACATTTCATCTTCAGCGCCTTTTAGCGAACTGCATTAACCTACAGACATTAGCGCTTCAGCTCGAGGTACTGACACTGACACACTTCTGTAACAGCTTTAACAACGGTTTTTAATGCCGTTACTCTGAAACGGTTCGCTTAAGTGACGTTAACGTTACTTTGCCAGTGAATGAGGATGAACAGTCTGCATTAACGTTACCGTCGCCTCACCGACTGACGGTAGACTGAAGTCAACGTTAGCCGGTTAGCGAGCTGTGTTGTGTTGATATAGAGAAGCTTTGCACTCTTTACACTCCTCCGTCCACGGTGGACACGGAGTAAAGCGCTTACTGTGACGAGCCCGAGCCGTGAGCTGCGCTTTTTCGTAAGGAAACGTCAAACGAGCGTGTTTTTCTCTCTGTTTACCTGCAGAGTAACTCAGACCCTCTGAATCTCCCTCCTTTCGCACTTCGAAGCTGTCGGTCTTCCTCCGTGGATGTGACGCGGTGAGTCACCGCGGACCAAAGCGCGCCCCCTGCCGGGCGGTGCACAGTCAGAGCCGTTTTAAAGGGGAATACCACCGATTTTTCGAAATCTCTTAACAATTCGGTCCTTCAGACGCGGTCATTCGGGGTGGTTTGACGTGAAACGGTTCATTTGAAGAGAAACTTACAGACTCAGGTTTCTTTACAGTGGTGGTAATAGGAACCAGGAGTCACAAGGACAAAAACATAAATGTAGTCATTTTATTTACTACCCAAAACCACCAGTGAACCTACAGGTGCCTGAGGTTTTTATGTGTTATGTTGATGATGGTCAAATAAAATCTGAAAATAACACGTTTTTGGGGGGACTTATTTGCCTTACAACGCCTTGTATGTAACCCTCTGCCACACACACATTTTCTAAACAGCTGATCCTTCTGGGTCGTGTGTGGTGCTGGAGCCAGACCCAGCGGTCACTGGGCAGGTCGCCAGTCCATCGCAGGGCCCCTCCACCATGAACGGATTAAAATAAATGGATTCAAATACATTTTAAGCCAAAACTTCATCACAAAACAATGTCTCAGACATCAAGCAGTTCCTCCTAACCATTTCATGTAATATCTTTCTGCGAGGGAGCTTTCAGAGGTGGACGTCTGGTTCCTATCACCATCACTGTGAACAATTCTGGCACTAAGCTTCTCTACAACGAAGTATTTCACACCAAACCACTCTGAATGGCTTTGTTTACATCTCTAACGTTTAATTACGTAGATTTTTTTTCTTTTTGAAAAGTCGGTGGAGTTCCCCTTTTAGGTGAAGTCTGGTCACATATATGTGTTTATTCTCATGCAGAACGCCAGAGGGCGCCCGCGAGCGAGTCCTAAATGAATAGGGGTGAATGGAGCTAAACGGCTAAAAACAAAACGCTAAAATAGTTTCTAACTGCAAGTGGAGGAGCTTTAATTTAAAAAGAATAAGGATGCATTTCAAAGCGCATATTTCCTTTTTTCTACACTCTTAATAAAGATGGTTCTTCAAGTTTTCTGTACTAGACTAAAGATAATGTTTCTATATAGAACCACGAACACTCAAAGAACCATTAGCGGGCTTTGCCTGGAGAAACGGTTCTTCAGACTGATGGAGAATGTGCTGTATATGGTTCTATAAAGCACCAAAAAGGGTTCTGCAATTGTTATGATGTCAAGCTGGTAACAAGAAGAACCCTTTTTGCTAGAACAGAGCATTTCACACCAAAACACTCTGAGGGAGATCGAGCTCAGCTCATCAGGTGACTGTCACGTCGGTCCGAGTCAGCTGTTAGACGAAGGGAGAGTCAGACAGTGGAGGACTTAGACTAAAGTATGAATGTCTAATTAATCTAATCTAAAGTCTCAGTCAGAAACTGGAATGTCCAGTAATTCCGCCAAAACGTGAAGGACACGTCTGAACACACCCCTCAACACCCCTAACTCTCCTACTCAGTCTGTCAGTGAGGAGACGTGAACATGTGCACATTCGACATGTGTTATAAGGTAAACTAAAAAAAAAAACTCCCAAACGCCACGCCCATTTGCCTTATATCCATAAAGGTGCTTTAAAGGGGAACTCCACCGATTTTTCTAAAATTCCACATAATTTAATGGTTGAGTTGTAAACAGAGTCATTCAGAGTGGTTTGGTGTGAAACGCTCTGTTCTAGAGGAGCTTACTGAGTCAGAGTTGTTCACAGTGGTGGTGATAGGAACCAGACGTCCACCTCTAAAATCTAACTCAACGGTTATAAATACTCGGCCTGATGTCTGAGACACTGTTTTAGAGATAGTAGTTCTGTAATAAAGTTTTGGCTTAAAATGTATTTTAACTTATTCATAGTGGAGGAGTACATGCAGGGCGCTGTGAGGCAAAATAGTCCCCAAAGAAAACTTTCAGCTTTTCAGATTTGTGACTATTTTACTATTTTACTAAACTTGCTAAATTTCTATCGGGATCAATAAAGTATCTATCTATCTATCTATCTATCTATCTGCATAATGTATGAAACTCAGAAGACCTGTGTAGGTTCACTGGTGTATTTGGAGAGTAAATGACATTTGTGTTGTAGGCATTGTGACTCCTGGTTCCTATCACCACCACTGTAAAGAAAGAGTCTGTAAGTTTCTCTACAAATTAACCATTTCACACAAAACCACTCTGAATGACTACATCTCTGTGACTGAATTGGTCAGAAATGTAGAAAAATTGGTGGAGTTTCCCTTTAAACTGAAACCCCTGTTTTGTCGTTTTAAAAAGTGGAGTGATTTAGAAAAACCTCCTGCAACAAGAAGGCGGTGAAACATGAAACCTGTGCCACAATTCTGACGTTTCCCCTTTTTTAATCTATAATAAACACCGTTTGTTTCCGCACGTTGGTTCATTAATCTACTCCTTTATTTTATGTAGATTTGGCGCCCCCTGGCGGTGGTTTGTATTGCTGACGTCACCAACAGTGAGTCTACAGTTATCGGAGTGTTTTTATTTAAGTCTCAGATTATCGATGTTATTTTTGTGCATCAACAAAAAACAAAGAATTAATAAAACTAAGAATTAAAATTAATAAAATTAAATAAAAAATCATTAAGTTCCGCTTCCGCAGGCTGAGCTGTAGTTGGTGACGTTGCGCTGGTGGACGTGTCGACTTCCTGCACGGCTTCACTGTGACAGACTCAGCAGTGCAGCCCACTCGGACCTCCGCCTGTGAAGAGCCGCTGTAGAGATGTCCAGCTCGGAGGTCGACACCGCGACCCTCTGCCTGTTCGATGTGGACGGGACGCTAACGGCAGCTCGGCAGGTGAGTCTGAGGGTCTCGGTCTGAGTGAAGAGCGTCAGTAAACACGGGGGTCAGCCCTGCGCTGTTTCTGTGAACACGGCCTGATCTTCGGTGAGCTTCTACTCTAGTTTAAACGTGAAGCTGTTTTATAATTTAACTGTAAGTATTTAACTGTAAATAACTAATTATTAACTGTAGTTTAATTCGATTTACGGCGTTTAGTGGACTTTTATTTCCTCACTGTCTGACTGAGAAACTGAATGAACTGATCCTGAGCCACTCAGAGCTGGGTGTGTTCACGTACGACAGACCTGCGCAGTTTCGCTCATTTTAAAGGGCCCGTATCCTCTATTTTTTTTCTCATGTTTATTTTTTCCACTTATAACCAAAATACAGTAACAGTTCATGTTTTCATGATGGTTTTCCAACTTCTCTCTTTTTTTTTTTGTCTGAAATGGTCCCCTTTCCACTAAAACCTACATGTGGAAAAGCTCTATATAGTACATTAATATAGGGAGAAGGATTTGTGACGATATTGAACGATTTCAGGCGCTACGTCATTCGGGTCTGCTTATTACCGTGTGACAACAGATTTCATCGCATGCTATAACACTATAAGCTTCATGTCACCGGTCCACTGAGTTCAACATATAAGAGCTTCATACTAGCATACATCGGCTGTATGCTGCTTATTGCAGTGCATTGTGGGATTGTTGGTATGCACTGGATCTTCTGCACTGTGTACTTGAAAACCACTACAGCATGGTAGAACCCAAAATAGAGCACTATTTAGTGAATAGAGCACAGGTTTGGACACAACTTGTATGTTGACATATGTAAATAAGGTCTGTCCTGATTGGCTGCCCTGTATTGTGCCATATTCAAAAAGCAGTCTGGGCTGAAACACCTGTTTCAGCTTTCGTGTGAAGGGGTGGAGCTAAACCGCTGTAAGCCGAACAGGTGGATGTATGTAAATGTGACATCACAGAAGCAGTGCATTCAAAACTGTTTTGCAGTTCGGTTTCTGTATCCGAACTGTTCAGACTGGGCAGTGAACGGGACGTTTTGGAAGTTTTGACACAGTGTTTATACACTACATCAGAAAAAAGTCAGTTTTCCACAATATGGGTCCTTTAAAAAATGGGAGAATCCCAAATATCTCCTCGTTCCCTATGTAGTGCACATACACCATGAAAGAACTGCATCTGTCCCAAAACCCTAGACTATGGTTGAGTCTGAATAGTCTGAGTAAAACTTTGTTTCCTGTCTGCTTTCCTTGATCTGCAGTGGATATAATGAATATATTGACAGAGCTGACTTCAGGAAAATCAAGGAAATCAGAGAGGAAAAGTAATTCATTCTCTTCAGACGCAGCCTAGATGTCCAATAAGGGAGCATTTAGCATTCAGACTTTGGTCGAGTGAACTGCAAAAAGACTTGGCTGGACCAGAGCCAGATCAGAGGGAGCCTGGCCACTTCCTTTTCCGATACTGGAATTTCCAGCTTTGATACGCTGCTTTGGAAAGTATCAGTATTCATTACCGCAGTAAGGGGGCGCTCTAGTAATTTCCAGTGTCTTGCCAAGTTTTTAAAAAGTTGTGGATCACAATAAAAGAGTTATTTCAGCAGTTGATTATCCACAAGCAGCAGGCCTTTAAAAGTGACCGAATTAAAGAAATGGTTCAGAGGAAAATCAGATGAACATAATTCGCCGTGATGTCGTCGATCAGCCAGGACGTGTTTGGTGTCCATATTTTACTTTATTAAAATGACCGAAACTTCACTGCGTAGCTAAAAACGCTGCGGGCAGCTATTTTAGACAGCAGGTGTTGTGCTGAATTCCAACTCCCCCAGAATCCAGCTCCCCTTCTCATGCATGCACATCAGGCAGATTTCTGGATTTATACTTTTAAATCTATATATATTTCACTATATTTCAAAAATATCATGGATGAATGTTTCTGTCTACGTGCAACGCTGTTATATTCTAAACTACAACAGGTATAAATGGGCGCTCAAACTGGGTGTTAGCAGCTAAAATTGAAAAATGTAAAAAATTTTTCAATTTTCTTGTTTTTCTATGTGTTTTTCCATGACTGAAATCTATAAATTTCCAGGTTTTAGACATTTTCCATGCCTGGAAACCCGGTTTCTACATTTTTAAGGGTTTCACATAGAATAAGGATTCACTTCCCATCGGGAAAAACAGGCTGTTCCCCTCTTCTTGTTTTCCTGAGATGAGTAATGCTGCTTGTGCATGTGTCCGTTTTAGAAAGCGACTCCGCAGATGCTGCAGTTCTTGAGCAAACTGAGACAGCGAGTGAGAGTCGGGGTCGTCGGAGGCTCAGACTTGAACAAGATCAAGGAGCAGCTGGGCGAAAATGGTGAGACACGTTCACAGTTCAGACTGTGCTTTATGTGTTCTGGTCGGTTCGTGTTCAGTAGCTGCGACGATGTAATTTACCATGTCGTTCGTTGCAGTTATCGAGCAGGTGGATTACGTTTTCGCTGAGAACGGTTTGGTCGCCTACAGATTTGGGCAGCTACACTCTGTACAGGTAATGATGGACACCCCTAATCACTGTTTACAGTTGGGGAAAATATTAGTTTTGGCAAATCTGATGTCTCCCACCTGTTTATTGTTTTCCATTCATCATAGTCTGAGTATGTTGTTGTTGGTAGAACATTACATTAATTTATCCTGTTTGTTTTTGTTAATCATGTTCACTAAAGGAACGTTCTGGCCTGAAACTAGATATGTAATATGTTATGTGTCATTCTGTAGATCAGCATTACATTCTGAGCTTCATCTGTTTTTATATCCTCTCACTACAATACCCAGCATGCATTACCAATACAACCAGTGAGGGTCCCTGTGGTGTCACCTAATCCTGACTGCTTGCATAGCCACTGATCTATGAGCTAATAAATACGACCAAGTTGACATTAATGTTCCTTGGTCCTCAAACAGAATTGTAAAGAAAATAACAATTCTGTCTTTATTCAGTACAAAATGGATGGCAGAGTCAAATTTTTTACGCTTTCAGCCATAAATAAGAAGTCAGGTTGAGGTGCGGCGTCTAGACAGTAGCTACCTTGCTAACTTGGGCTGTTAGCTCGTTGCCCTCCTTTTCTAAAGTAATTTCTATCATTATTATTTCTTATCATTATTGTAATGATGATTTTAATTGTAATGTTGACTTCCTAGCAGCAGAGATAGCTATCTGGCTTCCTTCTGCATCCACCAGCTAAAAAAAACATTTTAAAACAGCCCACCCCTCAGAAGACACTCCAGGACACCTTCAAAATAGATTCAAAAGCTCCTCCCACCTTCAAGATACATCATTAGAAGGGGGTTTCCCAGTCTTTAAACTGGAAACTGGACAGTCTCACTCTGTTATCTACTCGCTGCTGTCGGAAGAAAACCTCGTATCTCCGTTTTTGTTGTTTTTCAGTTTTTGACATAATTTGAAAATGCTTTTTGTCCTTTACATTGTTTTCATGATAAGTAGAGCAAAAGAAACAGCCCAAAATGACTTGGAAAAACGTCTGGTTCCATTGACTTACATTAAGAGTAAAGTATGTTTTTTTCTTTTCCTGTAAAATGACCATTTTGGAGATATGATGTTTTCTTCTGACAACAGTGAACTGCTGCACCACTACATCTGCTTACAGCACATTATAGTGCATTCTTTTTGGCCAGAGTTTCCCTTTAAGTTGGTACATCAGAATAACATGTTGTTGTCAGGTAATGATGCTATATTGTTATTGTTGGTGCATTTCATTAACAAACCGTTTGTTTTTTCATTAGAGTATTCAGGCGTATCTTGGGGAGGACATTTTACAGGACTTCATCAACTTCTGCTTAAATTACTTGGCAAAGATTAAACTGCCCAAGAAAAGGTCAGTGGAAATGGCAGAAATGCAACACAAGCCTGATGGCGTCATTAAAAATGATAAAATCTTTTTTTATTATTATTTATAATTAATAATAACACTAATAAACAGTTGAAGATCTTCTTGCCTTTTGCCCCATCAATAATACGACTTCGCTGACCTTGGTGTGATATGTTGGTCGTTAACCTCCCAGGGGGACGTTTATAGAGTTTCGTAACGGGATGCTCAACGTTTCTCCCATCGGCCGAAGCTGCAGCCAGCAGGAGCGGATAGAGTTCTTTGAGCTTGACAAGGTAAAGATTTATTATATCTTACAGTGCATATCCATATTGTACACTGCAAACATGATTCATCTGATTCACATTCAGTTCACATTATCACAGTTATTGTACGTCATTAAATCTGCCCAGTCAGTCGGCATCGTTTACTCATGACTCTTTTGATTTGAAGTCAAACATGTCAGTGGGAACGCTAAACAAACCCCAACTAAAATGCAACAATGTACCATTTTCTTTCTGGACCAAGGAAACAGAAATGTAATTATAAACGCACTCAATCAGCCAGTTTCGCCACTCAAGCTTAGACTTTAGTCACTGCATACAGTGAACAAGAAAAAGAGAATTAAACTGTTAGTCAAAGTTATTTATGATAATAAATAGCTAAAGTGTCATAATCATAACATTAGTTTTGTTGAATAGTATGATATGTTCAAACTCCTGTCAGTTTTTGCTGAAGTTTCACGGTTGTTTTCTCTCTTTTTGCTCTTCTGTAGAAAGAAAAGATCCGAGAGAAGTTTGTGGCTGTTTTAAAAGAAGAGTTTGCTGGGAAGGGACTGGCCTTCTCCATTGGTGAGTGAGTGTGTGTGTTGATGTTGCTTGTGTGCCCCTATTAGTGGTTTGTTTGTTTGTTTGTTTGTTTTGAATATTCCTGGAAACTGTGAAGACGAGTTTGTGTCCGTTGACTATAGGAGGGCAGATCAGCTTCGACGTGTTTCCAGAAGGCTGGGATAAGCGGTATTGTTTGGGCATTGTGGAGCAGGACTCCTACAAAACCATCCATTTCTTTGGAGACAAAACCAAGCCAGTAAGTAGAACACAAGAGGGGGCCGTGATTTTATTCATGCTAACACAGTGTGGAGAGTTGTAATGCTTCTCTACAACAGTAAAGATCAGCGCAATTAATAAAGCAGAGAAGCTCAAAACATTGTTTAATACATATATTTTTAATATTGACATTTTTTCTGCCAAAAATACAAGTGACCTGTTGCAACAGAGGTAGAAAAGTGGACTCGGAGAATGGACATGCCATTTACGATGTCATCTAATGCATTTGCACTGCTTGAACATCAAAGTCTGCGAACAGTCAGCACCAATCAGCACCTCACTCCAGCACTCCTCCTGCTTTCTAGCTCTATTGTTTTTAGCAAACTGTACAACAGCGTGTTTGTAGTGACCATTTATCATTAGAATTTGACCATATTGTAATGATAAGAAAGACAGTGGATGTATTTAAAGTGTGCTTAATGGTTAACAGCATCTTGGGCTCCATACACTCTGCAGGACAAAATAAATTTTTTTGTAAAACCTGATATTCATCTAATCCCATTTCACCTACCCATTTCCTACCACTTCGCCCTTAGCCTTCCGCTTTGTGTGTTCAAATCTAGGGGGTAGGTGTTCTGATTGCTGTTGAGATAGAGATGTAGGGCGAAGTGTTTTTCAGAGTCACACTCCAAACAGAGTGTTATGAGGAATATAAGACAAAACGGCAAGACGGCTGAACAAGTGACCAAAGAAACCCACAAATATATTTGAGTATTTTCTGTGTTAAAAATTACGATAACTATTATATTATCTTAGCCTAACGTTGTTTGAATGTATTATGATCCTTTTCTTCATAACAAGCATAAAAAATCACTAATAGTATGCTAATGTCTCGGTAACTAGCTTGCTAAGTTTTCCGGTCCGCCTTAAATAGTCCAGCAGTTCTGATGCCTGAAGCGCCAGAATGTAACTGCTGCACCATTTAAGGTGGAACGGGAAAATTTGAACAAGAAGCTGGTGAATATCTGACTTCAGCTTCATATCACTGAAGAATTAGCAGTGGGCGATAATAAATAATTGCCCCCCCCTCTTTGAAGGAATATAATGCCCTAAATGTAACTAAAGCCCAGCAGTGAGGAGCTGAACTTTACCCTCCTCTGCTATCACTACAGACTGACAGGGTCACCGACAGAGCAGCGCTAGTAGCTGTTAATGAAGAAATGTTCTATTTTATTTGAGGGTCCCACTTCGTAGGAGAAGATTTCAACCACTACCTTGTAACTCAGTTCTAAGTGGCAAGATGACACTTGAAAACAAGGGGTAGAGGTAAAAATAAGAAATGGGACTGGGCCTTAGACTTAGTGTCCACATTGCATGTTTGTTGCTTCAGTCACTGTGCCCTGTGCACAGTTGCCTGTGATCCTTTACATCAGAGCTCACTAATAGGCGGGCAGCGGTCCGAGTCCGGACCCAGACGCTGTCCTATGCGGACCTGGACCTATAACTGATAAACTATGGAGCATTATTTAATTTTGACGGGTTGGTCCTATTTTAATAGGCGTATCATTTCATACCGCGACCCAGAAGGATGAGCGGTTTAGATGATGGATGGATGGATTTCTAGTCATTATGGTAGCTTTAGCTGCCCAGGAGACTCACAGACCAATTGCATGTGTTGTAAATATCACACATGACGCTACTCAGCTAATCAGATCTGTGCATCACGATGAGCACTGAGACTCGAGTGAGTGACACGCACCCACAGGGAAGGGCTGAGGCGAGACACAGCAGTCGGAGAAGAAAGTGAGTCAGAGGGAAGTTATTTAACACGGTGTGCTCTAAAAACAGAAAACTGACAATAAATGTTGTTGAAATATGACTGAATTGTACTTTATTTGATTTGACATTCAGTTGTTGACTGTAAGATGTTGATAAACCTACTAGGCTACTTCAGTTTACAGTATGTGGCACCGAATCATAATACAAGTTAGACATTATGATGTTCTGGACCTTTGCTTGAGGATATTTTCTCTAACTGGACCTTATTGAATTTTAATTAAATACCCCTGTTGTACATGGTTGTAATCATTTGCACTCTTCTTTCTCAACCAGGGAGGAAACGATTATGAGATCTACGCAGACCCCCGGACGATCGGCCATGAAGTCACGTCACCTGATGACACACAGCGAATGTGTGAGGAGCTGTTCTTCAGCTGAGTGGTCCTGTTCACTACCTCTGACCTCGACATGCACCTGCCATATCAAGGACCTGTGATCTTCAAGGTTGTACTGTATGATTATCCTCCGTGACTTCAGTGTCACGTTACTGGAGTCTGGAGCCCTGGCTGGTTTTTGTTTGTTTGTTTCTTTTACCTCAAATTAAGCAGTTGATCTACACATTTAGGGAACAGTTCATCTCTTTTCTGGTTATTCGAGCCTTAAATGAATACTGAATGAAGTGAAGGGCTTCAGGGAAGCTTTTTTTTTTTGTTTGTTTGTTTGTTTTTTTAAAAACTTGTGCAAAAAGTAGATCGATACATTTGTCCTGTGTGCATTTTCACTCAGAGTGTCACTGGATTCTCAGAACTATGAGGCCGAAGTCATTTTTTTTCATCTAATTATTGCTGCATTTGAGCTGCAAGCAAGCCAACATACATGCGCATTGAAATGACATCACATGTTAGTCAGTTTAATACTGTACTTGAGCTCTATTCTGTAACAACACCAGCTACTCAAACTGTGGGCTGCTGTTACCAAAGCAACTTAACCACCTCATTTGGCAAAGCTCTCTGGTTTGCGTGGGTTATTCGGTGACGTTGTCAGTCTTTCGTTGTCAGTTCAAAGCGCAATAGAGTCCATATTTCGACTAACGTTATTGAACGACCTCACAATTCAGAGAATCGAGTGATATTTGGCGGAAAAGTTGGAAACCTATAAAATGACGTCATGACTTCAGATGTCTTTTCACTGAAGGATCTCAAGATTTTAGACATTTGTTGAACGTTCCTCGTCCCACTTCCAGTCCATCCTTGTTGCTTTTTTTAACATGGGCACAAATTTTGACTTTCAATTTTCTGACAAGTGTGTTTAATATTACTGAAAAATTGAATCCATATGATCAGGGATGTTTGTGTTGAAACCACAATTGGAACTACAAATTGGCAGCATTGGCATGGAACCTCTAAACCTCTGAGGGAAAGGAGTTGGGGTCATTTTGCTTTTTAAATGAAGAAGACAGAGCTGTGAACACAAGAACCATCAACAGTGACCTTGAAACTATAAAGAACTGCATATAAATGCTCTAAATGGTTCATATTATTTTTGCTGGTGAGTCATTCTATATTATGGGAATACATATAATGCTGTATATTTGAGGGTTTTAAAAATATCTTTATGCACTAATGGTTCTGTGGTTTATTGTATATAAGACTAAAAGTTAGAAGTTGATTATATCTTTTTTATTGGAAAAACAATCATGCGTATTAAATGCGACAGTGCAGTAAACTGGGCTACACTTCACTGTTACCAGCATAAAGTGCCAAATATTTTAGGCATTAGTTGCACTTCTGAATAATTTAATTGGTTTACATTATTAGATGTTATCAGATTGGGAATTTTGGCTACATAGTCCATCAGTAGTTCTATTTAGTTTATAGTAAAAAGGGGTTAATATCACAGAGGGGATATATAGGGCGATTTTAGAGAAGGGATGAGGAGAGTCTTTTTGAATAGAGGTATGTTTCTGAGTTTTTGTGGATGAATTGACGGTATGTGAAATTAAACGGCTGTTACTGCGTTTTTAAATGTACCCACTCATTGTAAATGTGTACGAATTAAACAGTGACTTCTGTGTTTTACTCCTGTTTAAATGTCTCAACACTACAAAACAAGTGCCTTTAATGGACATCTGAGCCATTTACCACATAAATACTATCAGTGCTGAAGATAAAGGGGATTTTATAGTTAACATGGAGAATAAAATAATACACAGTTAATGTGAAAGAATATGTAATTCTAACATCATTATAATGATGTACTGCTTATACTTACAATAATAAATTGCAAAACTCTGCACAAACCTATTGAATTAAGACCGTTGTTGCACAGTGAGGGTGTTTACATGCACGTAATAATCTGATAACTTCAGAAAATCAGATTTTGTCAGTATTTCGATCAACGTGTTTACATGCACTTGAGTAATCAGATAATGGAGAAACTCCGGGTCTACATGAGTCAGACAGTAATCAGATCAGCCAATAAACTCACAGAAGAAGACGTGACATAAACATAATGTAAAACTTCATGCTGTGGCTTTTTTTTTTTTAAACATAGCACCACTTTACCTGAAATATGAACAAACATCATCTAGAAGATGAAGAATATTTAATTCCTTTGTTTCATCAAGCATGTATTTGGTTTCAGCGTCGCTCCCAAAGTGTTTTGCTGCTTCTCGCGGCAATGATGTTTGCTTATTTCTGGTATAGTAGTCTGTTTTCACGCATGTGCAGACTGAGAAATCCGAAAGAAATCAGAGTAAGAGTTTACATGCACTGAGAAATCTGATTACTGAGCTAAAATCCAGCTCTCTTTATTGGATTTCTTGATCAGATTTCTACACCTTACTCCGATCTACAAAATCGAAATATGCTGTTTACACAAACTACAGAAATCTGATTATGATCGGATTGAGTGCATGTAAACGCACTTAAGGTTTTATGTACTGACTACTATGCAACCACAGTGATGTATACAGTAACCTGTATGACAAGGGGAAAGAAAAGCTATATATACATATATATATATATATATATATATATATATATATATATATATATATATATATATATAATTTCATATATAAATTTTAATATGTTTTTCCTTCTCTATTTCTAGCAGCAGAATGTTCAAATATTGAGTTTTTGTATCAAATTAATGACTTATTTTCTGAAAAAGAGTGTCTTTTTAACAAAATATGGGCTTAATCTCCTAAAATATTTTTAAGAAGTAACCTAATATCTGAAAAAAATCCTTTTTTTTAAGATACTTATTTAAAATAAGTTCCAAGATACATACAGGTTTCTAAGTGTGTCCATACACTTTTTTGTCAGATTTATTAGAAATCAGACACTTTTTACTCATCATGAATCAGAACAAATATGATGTAGTCAGTGTAGATGTGGAACAGCGTACACACACATACAGCCACTCCCATGGGTGCCTATAAAAAGGCTAGAAAAAGCCCATAATGAACCCTTTAATAGCCATTCCTCCTCCTGCAAATGAACATATGCTCACGTCCAGTTAGTGCTCACTCTGCACTACACTACACTACAGCAGTGCATGCTGATCAGTTCAACCCTCCAAACTGTTGGACTCCAGCCCTCCAGGACCAGAGTTGTGCATCCCTGATCTACACAATAAAAATATTATGCAGCGAAAATTACATTCAACTTGGCTACCAGTTTAAAACACGTCATCTTCTCTGTGCTTTGGCTGCGTTCAGTCATGAACAGACTAAGTAAAAAGCCACAATTCCAGTGAATTCTGAAGTACCTCTAATTTCCACAAGATGTCAGTATTTCCCATCCTCCACCAAAACATGCTCACACCACCTCCAGAGTGCGCAGAGTAGTTGCACTTTCAGTAATATCAGTATACAGTGATAGTTAGTCAGCAATATTTTTGTGCATACACACTCAGGCTGGGCAATAAGACTATTTATCATAATCGTGATACATTTTACCACAATATGCTTCTTTTTAAGTACTTAGACACTGATCAGCTGCATATTTCATTACAAAGAGAGCATAAACCGTACTGTTTAGTTGGAATTATTGCAACGCAGGATGTAAAATGTTTAATGCAGGTGATTATATTTATTTTTAATAGTATTTTTTTAAATGTGGCAGTTTTTTTTGTTTCAACTTATTAGATGTCAGAAAAAATAGTGTCATTGTGTATCTTAAAAAGTTCTTAAAGTACCATGATATTATAATTTTGCCTTATCCCCCAGCCCTAATGCACATCCTTCATATATGCCTATCTTTTAATATTAACTTAATATTTTGAAATATCAACCCATTATCTGAAAAAATTGACTTATGAAATAAGTCAATTTTTTTAATGAAAACTACATCAAAAAAAAATTTGAGACACTAATGATTGTTATGACATGTATTTCAACATGGTTATTATTTGAACATAGTAAGTTGATATTTTGAGATAATAGTTCACCTAATAGCAGGAATAAACAATATATGGAGGACAAGTGCAAGTTGACAGTAACAAATCAGGCTTTTTTGGGGGAAAAAAAAATGCTAAATCAGACCAGCTGCTGCTGTCAGTGTTTCAGTCTAGAGAGTCTGATCTGTGTTTGGAATACAGTGATGTTCAGTGGCCACAGCAAGTTTGTTCTTTACAGATATACAGTACTCGTATATAAACTGCATGAAAATATCTTTAATGGAGACAAAGCCATTAGGGGGCACATAAAAATGAAGTACAAGTCTGTTTGTTTGTTTATTCCCAAATAAACACCATAAAAAAGCTAAAGGAAATTTCCTGTCTAGGTCAGCCTACAAGCAGCTGAGACCAATTTAAATGTCATTCAACTTTATATCCATTTAGAGTTAAGAAAAAGTTAAGCCCTGTTATGTCTCTGTGATGGTTCCATGAATTATCTAAATGAGGCAAGAGAGTAGATTATTACCAGTAAACTAGCAGCATTGTGTTTTTTCCTGGAATTATTTATTTATTATTACAAATTACAGTTTTTTCCTGAATAGGGTTGTCGTTATGCTAGACTAACCAACAGGTGAGCTTTGTGGTGTTACAACCAGCCCAGCTGTTTTTAACATCATTAAAAACTCAAGACTTGAAACTTTGAAACCAAAGGCTGAAAAAGTATAAAAACTGTTAGCAGTGCTACATCTCAAAGTCTTCTGAAACATTTTAAAGCATCCTAACTAAACCATAATTGGACATCTTTTTGTGGAATATACAAAAACAACAGATTTTTCACATTATTCAAAATGTTTCAATGATTTAATTCCCTATAAACATAGTTGAACAAACCAAAGTAAACAGGTGTTCAATCTGTGGCACTTCCAAATTGGTATAAAAACATGAATAACCATTAGCTTAATTCATCGAAGTGCCTAGAGAAAATATAGGGTGGGATGTTTATGGTAAATGCTTTTCAGCAGTTAAAAAAGAAAATCACAGTTCATTCTCAAACTTGAAGAACACATCAGGTCATTTCCCCGTCCACATTTTTCCCCAGTAAGGTCATTCAAACCCTCATAAATCCATTTCTTCTCCACCTCTGAAAGTCCAATACCCCTTTGCTGGGTTAGCGGATGGGCCGGTAGGGGAAGGCCATGGCGGCAGGATGGAAGGCGTGTGGTGGGAGGGGGGAGTGTGCAGTATGAGGTGTTAAGGGGCGGTGTGGTGACAGGGCTGGATGTGTGGGGAGTGGAGAGAGGGCTGGGTGGGCGGCGTGTGGAGAGGAGAGGGCTGCTTGGTGTGTGGCGTGGGGTGAGAGAGGAGAAGGCCGAGCAGGATGGATGTAGGGATAGAGGCTCGGCTGGAAGGGTCCGCTGTGTGGTGGAGGCTGGACGACAGGACCGGACATGACCAGCTGTAAAAGACTGTAGAAAACATATAGCAGAACAGTTATTACTTCAATACAAACTGTATTAATCTACAAGCTCACAGCCCAAGTTGCTCTTCTTGATACAGTTTGCATTATCAAAGTTTTCACTTGATATTACAAATAGTTAGTTTGAGGGAAGCTGTAAAACAGCTGGAGATCTACATATTGTGAAAGTTTAGTTCCAGACCTAATCTAAGACCCCACTGCATTTTGAGTATCAAGATATAAAATAGAGATTATCCACGAGGTGCATTTAAGACTGAATAAAATCTGATCGCTCAAACCAGCTAATAAGGTGGTCGGAGACATATGTAGCCAGATGTTATACAAGTACAAATGCACCCGTCTCTACAAGCCACCTTCAACGACCAAAACCCCTACTGTAAGGACACTAGGGCTGTCATTCACGCCCCTTGTTTGTCGGTCAAATATTCAAATATATTCAAATTTTAAACACATTTTCAATAGATTATTTTTAAAAACTGCATTATTTAGTAAAGAATATAAGGAAATAAAATACAACTGAAATAAATCCACCAAATAGCGCTCAGCATAAATTATCAAGCAAGCCCAAAAGCACAGTTCTAAACAGTTGTCTTCTTGTAAACATTGGTGTAAAGTCAGTGTAAGGAAATGAACAATGGAATGCAAAACCATCCATCACTTACATACATGGCATTTGGCAGACGCTCTTATCCAGAGCGCCTCACAATTTGATCATTTTACACAAGCAGGTGAAGGTAGTGTTAGGAGTCCTGCCCAAGGACTCTTACTGGTATAGTGTAGTGTGCTTACCCAGGCAGGGGACTGAACCCCAGTCTACAGCATAGAAGGCAGAGGTGTTACCCACTACACTACACCAACCAGGGGGTGTTTTTTTTTCGCTTGAAAAAGGTGGAACAATACAGGCAACTGGTTGTTGCATATTGGTTGATTTGCATTCTGCCATATATCAATCAGATTTCAACCTCACTAACTGGAGACAAAATACCAAGTGTGTTCAAAATCTTATCAGGTTACAATCCAGATACAAGTCATGTGAACATAAGAGGTAATTAAGTCAGGATTAGAACTAAACTTTGTAGGAGTATAAATCTCCAGGAGTACGGACGGGCAGCCTTGCTGTAAAGGTGTCTTCTGGCACTATTGACGCTACTGACTGAGTCTATTTTAACTTACTTGTTGTGAGGCAGTCTTGAGCACAGAGTCCGCAGGTCCTCTAAAGAACAAATAACAAAATAAAAAATAATTTAGATATTATTACGAATGTCATTAAATGACAAAAAAAAAAATCCCACTTTTTTCTGCCTCACCCACCTCTGGTACATAACAAGGCTCCTGTTGCCATGGCGACTTGTAGGGCTTGGGCCAGCCTATCCAGAGCCAGCTGGATTTCATTGGCGGCATGGAGAGGGTTAAGCTCGTCCACTAAACGACTCACTTCCTCGACAAGGACAGCAACAGACTCTGCCTGCAATACAGCTAGCCGTCCAAGCAGATTCTGTTCTGTAAGGTGGACCTTTAAGGGCAAGAAAAACAACATTTTGATCAAATGCTTTTAAAGCATTTAGGAAATTCACTAACTTTTAGTCTGCACATAGGAAAGCACCTGTAACATGAGAAAGACTTGAAGAACGCTCAGGTGGAGTTTGGAGTACAGCTCCTCACATTCTCCCACTTTTTCTGTATCCACGTGGCCGTTGGTCACCGTTGACTTTCGGCCTCTCTGATAGGCTAGCGGTGCCTTCACGCACCATCGGAGGAGGCCCATGAGAGGCGTGACTTCCAGGCAGCCGATTGGTAAGCTAGATGTGAGAGGCGTGTTGATAAAGGTGAGCAGGAGTAATCTGGGGTCTTCTGTGATCCAACCAACCACCATCTCCAAAAGGGCAGGGGGTGGTGTTAGCTCATCTAAAGACAAAAAGAGGGGGAAGGGAGGTTAGAGAATCTGTACGTTGTGTTTAAAGTAATTAAACATATCATTACTGGGTGTAAAAATTAATTCCCCCTGGTAAATTAGTATAGGAATAATTACAGTGATCTATAAGGTGTCCGATTTTCAAGGCTGTGGTTCTTTTGTCAAACCACAGTAATTCTGAACCAGAAAATTGTTTAAAAATGTTTATTCTGTGCAATAAGCATGCTTTTGCTTGTAAAAATTAGGGGACAGTATCTCCAGACAGGGATTAAGCAGCATTCTAAATAGAGATTCTCCATTAAGAGGCTTAATCCCTGTTCAGGAAACCAGCTCTGTAATTAATACAAATAAACAATGCTACCACCTACAAACCTTACTGAGGTATTAATGAGCCAAATCAAGTATTAGATGGTAACTATTAATATGGGTCTGCCTCAAAAAAAGTTAAACTAACATACTGATTTATATTTCTGTTTAAGCAAACTCCATGCCTTAGTGCTCTGTGGGTATTTTGCAGCAATATGACATAAGAGCATTATTAGAAACATAAATTATAGTTCACAGAGTACAATGCCCAACCTAAAAGCGATGGCAGGTACCTGAGGAGAGATCGTACAGGGCCGTGACTGCAGTGATGAGCTGACAGCAGAAGCGAGGGCTGGCCGAGCAGATGTTCTGCAGGGTGGAGATGGAGCAGGGCACCAACATACAGTAATCGTCCACCAATACCCGCGCCAGTCGGACACACCACGCAGAGTGTGTACGCTGCACACGTGGACACAAGAAAATAATGTATTAACACTTCAGTAATGCTACTTCACAAAATTCCTGACAACTACTACTCGAGTAAACACTAAACTAAAACCATAAAATAATAGTCTTTTTTATCTCTATTCACCCCTTTGTTTTTCTACTGATCTAACAAGCCCACTGGCATTAGCAAATGCCTGTGCAGCCTCAGGAAGCAGGGTTTTAGTAGATATTACCTAAACTCTAATTCAACAGAGGGACATGGGAGTCACTAGAGACCCTCTATCACAAAATGTGTGCCATGATACAATTCTATATCAATTTTTACAAACAATTACAATATAAAATATTGTACTTTCTGCTAATAAATGTTACACTTTTTGCGTATCATACTTAAATCTTATTCACTGAATCAAAACATCATTGACTGAAGCCTTAGAAAACCAGAAAGAAAGGGAAAAAAACAGCACCATCTTGTGGACTAACAACGCAATGACCTCATTAGGGCTTAACAATTTAAGGAAAATATCTAATTGTGATTTTTCTGACTAATACTGCGATTACAATTTAAACTGTGAATATTTTCTATAAATTTATGTTCAGGCTGTTTTTTTTGGCCAAGAATATCCACCTTTTCTGGCTTAAGCCTTTATCTACAGGCAGTTCAAAAGCTGTGTTATAAGGTTAAATTTCCCCATTGAAAATGTAAGACAATGTTGTTGATAATGAAGGCTATAATTTAAATAAATTGCAGCTCTTGTGATTTGAAAATTGCAATTTCAATATAAAAAGATTAACCTTTCAGCTCTAGATGCCATCCTACATAGTCTGGTCTACAAATATAAATAATTACATTTTTAGTATACATATTAGATGATGTTAATTATAATCATAAAACAACACTACTTTATCACCTAAAATTTCAGAAAATGTATAATTTTTCTCTCCCTCCGCTGAGACCAACTGCCTTTCTTTCTTTATTATATGATGATTAATGATAGATTAATGTTTCTATCTATGGCATGTAGCTGGGTCTCAAACCAGCTACAGCAGCAGCGCTCACAGCTGCACTAGCCAGTGGTTTTATTGGGTACACAAACAAATGAGTACCAAACCTGTAAGACTAAATGAAATACAGCAGTGACAATCTGCTGTACTGACCCACCTGTAGCCAGGTGGCAGCACAGTCTAGGATCGGCACCCGACAGACAGCAATCGCCATCGACACCAGCTTGCCCAGCATGGACATGCGGCTCTCGTCAGCCTTGTTGCCTTGAAGACCGAAAAGGGCAGAGAAGATGACCTGCCGGATGGCATCCTTGCTCTGCTCTTGGAAGTAGCTGCACATGATCTCCAGGAGCTGCAGCTCCTGAACACAGCTCATTCTCTGTCAATCATAAATCAATAAATCAAACAGATTAATAAACATATAACAGAGACTAAACCGCTACGGCACTGTAAGTGGCCCAGACAATCTCTTACTATTGCAAAATATATTATAAGCATCACAATCTGCATATTAGTGCTGCCTCATCAGTTGCATGACTATATGCACTCTGAATCTAATACAGTTGGATTTTATACTATAAAAATATTTGTGATATCAGACATGCAAATATAGACTGGAATAGTTTCCACTACTCTATTAAAAATACTCTGATGCTCTGAAATCCTTTGCAAAAGCCTACTGAAAATAATGTTGCATAAAAATATAGGCATTGAAATACAAAGACATCTAACTCCCATTTGAGTGTGACTGATACAGTGATTGTGGCACATGTGGGGCCTGCAGGTCACACGATTCTACCCAACTGCACCCTTTCAAATCTAAAGCCCTCGAGGTCTTTTGGCCTACAGGTCACCAAAGTGTGGATTTTGATGAGGACCGGAGGAATTAGGGCTTCACTCTCCCCTCACCTTTCGCTGTACATTCCTGTCTTTGGACACCTGGAAGATGAACTCTTCCACCAGGTCCACGGTACTCTTGTCCAGGCCCGGTGCTGGTCCTGGGGCACTCTGCAGGGCGCTGCCCAGCGATATGTCCAGATGGTAGAGCACCTCCTTGGCCGCGCTCAGCGGGTCGCGCCGCAGCAAAGCATGGCGAATGTCACTCATGGCTGCTGGAAACAGGAAAAAAAATATAGTTTTGTTAACACACATATCTCAACTCCAGTCAAGGTGCTCGAGTCACATTAGTGAGTTACTACGGCCTTCTTCAGCTGAATGAGGTAGTGTAGTGAGAAAACACTGTTCTAGTGACCAACAGATGTGATCTATGTGATTACCTGATTAAGTCTGGTTAGACAATTGAACAAAAGGCTGAGTGCTTTATTTTTTATTTTTATACGACTATATCTATTCTATTTACCAGGCAGGTATAAAGCTATAACGTTTCTGTCCACTGTCAAACTATGTCGAGCAGTAAAATTGAAGGAAACTGTCATCATAACACATCAATGAGACCAGCTGTTAACTGTACACAAAGTATATTATTATACACTATAACGGCACCTATCTATCGATCTGTGTACCTACTATCTATTGTATTTGGTCACTAAAATCCCGATATTAACTTGCCATATGCCATTAAGTGTCCACACCGACACCAACAGGCTAATTTTACTGGACGTTGTAACTTTAACAGCTTTGTAACTATACAACTTAATACGTCGACAATGATGTGAAACTGTATTTCATTAATTAAATTAACGTTATCTTTGTCTTATACCTTCGTGACTAAACAGAAAAAGGAGTTTTGAGAAGAAAAGCGAGTAACTTCTCCCTCGAAGCCCACAGGTTAGCTACGTTAGCTAGAGCTAACGACGCCGCCGAAGATGTATCTACCGTTAACGGTAACTAGTTAGCTTAGCTTAGCTTAGCTCGCTCTCTCAGCGCTTCTTCGGACGGAACTAGAAGGCAAATGTGAAATTTAACCCGCTGAAGCGGCTGATAAACGGATTTTGAACATTTAATCCACACCTCAGCGTGCTTTTCTCTGTTTATTCCATTTATTTCTCCCAGCCGCGGATCTGCTAAAACACATCCAGCCGTCCGGTTAAACAATAACTACGGCAACACATGGTGGACAAACTTCACAACACACCGCTACGGCGCTGTACAGTGAGGGGAGACCGGTGTTCAGACGGTTCTGGGTTTATGTTCTTTAAAGGGGAGTTTTTCAAAATTTCGTTTTCTGCATAATTCAGTGATGGAGATATAAACAAAGTCATTCAGGCTGGTTTTCGTGTGAAATGGTTTGTTTGTAGAGCATTATTGAATGTGGAAGCTTAACTTCTCAAAGCTAATTTTTTTTTTAAACTAATACATCAACCAATAGACATGCGCTACATGGGATGAGGGTGTGTGACACACAAAAATGCCTGATTTTTTATAACTTATATAATTATATAACAAAAACAAAGTAAAAAAATTACTTTGTTTTTGTATTATTGCATTATATTAACTTTACTTTTTATTTGAGGTTTTTAATACGTATGAGGTACTAAAAAATCGCTCAAAAAGGTATATATATATATATATATATATATATATATATATATATATATATATATAAGAAGAACACTAAAGCACCGAAGAACACTAAAGCACTGAAAACTGTACATTACTGTAAAGCTTTAAATACTGTAAAACCCTGAGCTTTCTTGGTCTTCTTTTTTTTTTTTAATTATGTGCTTCAGCAAAGTGTATTTATTACTTTCAGTAATTCAGTAACATTGTTTTCATCATGTGAACGTCAACCCAAACATGAAAATCACATAGGTTGGTTACGGTTTCTGATTTTCATTACTGATGTGCAGAGACAGCAACAGTAGCTGCATTTTTCAATGTTTATATCATATACAGTCAGCTCCATAATTACTAGCACCTTTTGTAAAGATTAATTAGCTCAATCCTGCACTGAAAATATGAAAAAAAAAAAATCTTTAATTAGTTAGAAATCAAAAACCCTATTTAAAAAAAACAAAACCACAGGTAGACAATTATTGGCACCCCTAGAAATTCTTATGAACTAACTACGCATGTTCCTGTTAATATTTCACTTCTTTCACTTCAGGAAATAATACTCCCCACTATTAAATGTGGTGGAGGGTCTGTGATGCTTTGGGGCTATTTGTCTTCCAAAGACCTAGGGAACCTTAGGATTCATGGCATCATGAACTCCATGAAATACCAGGAGATTTTAAATGAAAGTATGGCTGCCTTGAATAAAGGCTAAAACTGGGTCAGGGTTGGATCTTTCAGCAGGACTATGATCCTTAACATATATTTAAATCCACACAAAAATGGTTAAATGAAGACAGAATTAAACTTTTGACATGGCCATTCCAGTTCCCTGACCTATATGACCTACATATCATATAAACAGTCAATGGTTCCAACTCCCCCTCCATGTAGCCTCTTGCTCTTGTTCAGTTTTTGTATTCTTGTTACAGTGGGACTCTCTAGGGGAACTGCTTTTCACTTTGCTCTTGCTTTTGTTAGTTTGCTGATCATTGATTTATCCATAGGCCTCCTTTTAATTACACCATGATATACATTTTTGGCCATACAGCCCACTACTAAAATAGTCTTTCATGCAGATATGTTGAAAAAAGCACTGTTTCATAGGTTATACTTACTTTCTCTCAGCACTGAGCCTCCAGCAATCAACTATGAAGGAAACTGACAAAGAATTAAAAAAAAAAAACAAACACACAAAAAATCGTTGAAACATGTCAGCAAGTTTGCATAAACCTTAGCAGAAGGTTCAGCAAAGACCAAATTCTTGCAGACAGGTTAGAGGTAAAACCAACACAAAATGTCAACTAGAGCCACCAGAACATTTACCCCAAAACATATTCCCTCACTTGCTCTTCTGAAGATGAGATCTGATGTGAGTGGTCCAAAATCTCTCATCAGTGTACAACGAGGTTGAGATCTGGTGAGTGTGAAGGCCATATGATTTAAATCATTTCCATAGTCATCGAACAATTCAGTGACCCTTTCGTGCCTCAAATACTTGGAGCAATCCACTACAAATGTAGATAACAAGTGAACGGAGGAATCTTCTCCAGGTTTTAGACTGTTATTGAGTCATGGAATTTTGTTGTTGCATTAAAATGAACACGAATGTCAACTATTGTTTAAAGTCACTTTTTTGCACCTTTTTAATTTACTATTTGCTTCTTAAATGTCAGGTAGAGTTCCAGGGGGCCTTCAGAGATGCTGATGCCCAGGGGCCTCACAAGACTATAATCAGTTCTGCCTGAAAGAACCTTCACTCCTTATGTTTCTCCACGCATTTATTCAGGTACTAAGACAGACGTGAACAAAGCACTCTATGCGGATTATATGTAAATTAGACCAAAATAGTAAATGGCTGGTTTATGTTATCATTTCTAGGTATAACAGTCAAAATCAAACATGAAAGGAGGCAAAGTGTCCGTCAACTTTTGATGAACAGTGTAACAGCAACATTCACGCATAATGAAATTCACAAATGCATTGTTTCATTTTATTTTTCATTTTATTATTTGCACAAAAAGGTATAGCAAATACAAGCAACAAAGAACAAAACAAAAAAAATACATTAAATTAAATAAAAAAACAAACACAAAATCACAAAAAAACATAGGTGTTTACATTTAAGTAGATGAGAGTAGATGAGATTTAACCTGTTCTTTTGAAGCTGATAAGGCAGGTACAGTTGTTAGATGAGGTGGCAGACAGTTCCAGATTGAAGGCCCCTTGATGAGAAAGTGTAAACTGTCCAAGTGACGTCCTAAAGCAAGCTGTGTGGAGGTTATTAGAGGATCTTGTGGAGTGATGATTGTTTTCAAAGCCGCCAGGAAGAAGAAGAGTGTGTGTAAAAGAGAAAATAAACTGGTGTATCTGATGAAAATGGTTTATTTAATACACAATGAGTATTTAAAAAGGAAAAGTAAATAATTTCACTCGTCTTTTTTGGCTTCATGCTTTTCTGACCCACAAATCCAGTTTACGAATCTGTCTACGTCTCTGCCTGGCTTTGTTCGTTCCGACTCCACTTTTGCACAGCCCTCATGAAATCCTTTCTTTTTGGCCTCCTTAACTTTTTCATCGAGTTTGGCGCAGAACTCTTTCTCAGCTTGTGCTCTTGCTGCTAGTTCAGTCTGTCTCCTCAAGTTCTCCATCTCTCTGTCGTGCGTCTCTTTAATGAAGTCAAGGTTTCTTTTTTCAACCTCAGTGCGTATCTTCTCCACGTCCTCCCTCTCTTTTCTAAAGGCCTCCTGTTGCACCCGCAGTTGCTCCTCCATTTCCTTCCTGAGCTGTTCGTCTTTTTCTTTTCTTTCTTTCTCCTCCCTCTCTCTTTGTGCCTGCTGTTGTTCTTTCAACAGCCTTATCTTTTCATTGGCCTCATTCTCTATTCTTTTCTTCTCTTGCTCTTCCTTCTCCTTTCTCTCCTTTTCTTTTAAATCTCTCTCCTCCTTTTCTTTTTGCTTTTGCCACTCATACTGTTTTTCCTTCCTAATCTGCTGTAGATGCCAACCTTCCTCCATAGACGCAATCTTTTTCTCCCAGGATTTCTGTTGTTCCTCTTTCCTCTTCGCCTCCTCCTGCATCCTCCACTCCCACTTCTGCTGCTGATGTAACTGTAGCTGTTGCAGCTCCTTCCTTTTACTTTCCTCAGCATATTTGATCCTCTCCTCTAAGTTCTTCCGTCTTTTCTCCTCCTCTGCTGCCTTTTGTTCAAACTCCTGCTGTAATTTCATCAGTGCTTCATTTTCACGCTTTTTCATATCCTCTTTGTCTCTCTCAAACTTCTCTTTCTCCTCTTTCTGCTCTTCCTCCCTTTCTTCTTCTTTCCTCTTTCTTTCCTTGTCCTCTTCATCTCTCCGCCTCTGATCTTCCTCCCTTTGTCTCTCCCACTGTTTTTTGTTCTCCTCTCTTTCTCTGTTTATCTCAGCCATCCACTCCTTCATCCTTTTTTCATCTTCTTCTCTTCTTTTCCTATATTCCTCTCTCCCTAACTGCTCTCTTTTCTCCATTTCTTGTTTGAGTTGCTCTTCTCTGTTTTTAAATTCAGCCTCCTTTATTTTCCTTTCCGTCTCTTGTTTCTGTCTCTCTTCCTCAATGGTCCTCTTCATTGCCTCAATGTCATTGTCATATTTGGCCTTCATTTCTTTTTTCACTTTCTCTATCTCCTCCTCTCTTTCCTTCAGTATTCTCTTCTGTTCTTCCTGTAGGTCTTTCTCTACCCGCTCAAACATCTCATTAGTGTAGCAACTTCCTGCATTTACCGCCACCATGGAGTCGATTTTATCCAGTAGAGCAGTGACCTGAGCATAGCTGCTTTTATTGGTGTTGTTGAAAACATGAAATCTGTTACCAAATTCATACAACATCTTCTTTAAATCTGGTATAGCCTTATCTACATACTGTTCAATTGTTTTTCCTTTCAGCTCATCTCCTCTGGTGAAAAGCACCATAGTGTACATTTTACATTTCTCACCAAAAGTTTCCTTGATCATATTCACCGTGTCTTTCTCCTCTTGTGTGAAACGTTGTCCCACTTTCAGCATCAGCAGAAACACATGTGGACCTGGCGCAGCCATGGAGATGCACTTAGTGATTTCTTTAGTGATTTCAACATTAGAAACACTCGTATCAAACAACCCTGGAGTGTCAATCACAGTTATCTGCCTCCTGTTGATTTCAACCGTCTCTTTCTGACACAAAACGGTAACTGATGCATCTGACAGGTCTTCCATGAACACATCTTTTCCTAAGATGGTGTTTCCAGTTGCGCTCTTCCCAACTCCAGTCTTCCCCAGCAGGACAATTCGCAGAGTATCGCCAGGGCTTTTTGATGAACCTGCACAAACAGAGAGAGGCCCTTGTTAATTTTTCCCCAAAAGTGGTATCTTGGTAAGTATAATTAAGGTTTTACAAATATGTTCCAAAGAACAGTGCTTCTTCATGTATTGATCAGTTGATAACTGCAGAGATATCTAGTGAACCATGAAACTCTGTATGCACACTCAACAACTTTGGGCTCCTCTAAACAGCTGGCAGAGGATTGATAAATGAAGCTAACTGATGCCTACAAAGCAAAAGAAGGCTATATAAAGATATTAAAACACTTCCAGCTTGCGATTTCCCCTGTCCAAAATGTCATTAAGACCTCACAGTTAAAGAGAACTGTGGAGGTCAAGGCAAGATCTGGAAGAACAAGAAAACTCTCAGATGGAACTGCTCTGATGCTTTCCAGAAAGGCAAAGCAAAACCCCCATATGACAGCAAAGGACCTGCAGGCAGGTTTAGCTAACACAGGAGTGATGATACACTGTTCTACTGTAGCACAAATGTGATCTGCATGGAAGAATCACCAAAAGAACACCTTACTTGTGACATCCTCACAATGTTAATGTGTGAAGTATGCAACACAACATCTAGAAAGTAGTAAAAATCATGAAGTGAAGTAAAAATCTAACTCTTTGCTGCAAGCATTTGATGAAAAGTACACCTTGCCAGGTGTTAAGCACACAGGTACATCTATTATGCTTTGGGGTTGTGTGGCTCAGGAAAGAATGATGGAACATGGAAGAAATATCAACAAATTCTGGAAGCAAATGTGACACAGTCAAGAAAAGAGATCACTTCAAGAACACGAGCTGAAGCTTTTGGAATGACTTTACTGAAAATATGTGGGTCCACATTCTCGATAGCCAAATAATACTGCAGAATTAGAAGTGTTGTGCAAAGAGTGGGTAAAAAAATATCCTAAAACAGTAACACAAAGACACCAAGCTGGATGTAAAAAGTGTTTGTAAACTATGATTACTGCCAATAGGAGTATTACTAAATACTGACTTAGTTGATTCAATTACTACATGTATTTTTTTTTCAATTTTTAAGTTAATGAAATGTAACGTAACGGTGCATTAACATTTGCAGAAAAAATGTGTCAGAATAAATTCAAACAACGTGAGTGTAGTAAAAAGTAGAAAGAATCTCGTTTTTTAAAAAGCAGTAAGGAGAAAAAAAAGGTTCCATTCATCCTTGACGGCCTCAACCATAGATCTGTTCAAATCTACAACTAATTTAATACGAAGAATAATGTAATCTTATGTAAGCATGTGAATAATTTTTTTAATAGTTTTTTTTACTGTGGGACTGCAGTTTGAAACTAAAATAGTGTATTTCCTGAAGAAAATGCAGAGTGACTGCACTGAGAGCTGAAGCTTGATGCTATGGCATTAGGTGTGTATACTCAGTGGTTGTTAGAAGGTTGCCAAGTTGCGCTTGTTGTTGTTGAAAATAAACGGGAGTCTATGGGTGGAACAAGGGATGTAAAAATGACAGGAGGAGTGCGGGTCAGTTTTGCTGTGGATTAGAGCTTAAGAACCTGCCCTGCGTGAGTACAAGCAGTTTGGTGGCTCTCCAAACAAGAAAAAAAAGAAAACAAATATAAATCGGAAAACAATATACTTCATTATATTTCAAGTCATTAATCGGACACTAGGAAGCAGTAATAAAACTTTAAGATGTGCCCAGAATGATGAATGGAGCTGTAGATGATTCCATACTGACAGACAAGCTGAGAATGAATGTTTAATAAAGTTAAAATCCAGTTAAAATGATGAAGTGGAGATCAAATATCAAGGCAAATAATTATACAGTATTAACCATCATACAGACACACACACACACACACACACACACACACACACACATTTTCTAAGCCGTATATCCTTCTGGGTCGTGGGGGGAGTTGGAGCCTATCCCAGCGGTCATTGGGCGGAAGGCAACCATCATACAGTACTTCATTTAATAACTGCTTGTTTGCAGAATTCTTGAAATACTGAAAGATCTAAGAATACTTAATGTTTAATACTGTGATTATTATTGTAAAAATTCAAAGCCTTACCTTCTTTGTAGTCCTTGTTTTTCAGGTCAGCGATTATTTGACGCAGATGTTCGATTTCTCTTTTGTATTGCAGCTGTGTTTCGACCTGGGCATCCAGATACATGTCCATGGTGTACTGGCTACCTTTGTTCTCTGCTAGTAGCTTCTCACAACATGTAATCAGCGACCGCACGTCTGTCTTGGCAGTGAAGAATATATGTCGTTTTCCCCAAGATTGTATACAAGCCTCAACAGCCTCGTCTAACGTGTTGGTATTAGATTGCTGAACGATGACAACAATCATGTGGTTGTTGACCCTGGATCCAAAGACTCTCTGGATCTTCTCCATTTCTCCTTTATCTTCATCAGTGAGGCGGCCCTCAGGGATGATGAGGAGAAAGGCATGGACTCCAGGAACACATTGAGAGACAAAGATACGAGTCTTTTGCATTACTTCCTCTTCTGAGAGCTGAATGTTGCAGAGCGTTGGAATCTCCATCAAGGTAATCAGGTGTCCAGATACTTCTGCCTTCTGCTTCATACATACTTGTCTCTGGCCCAAGTGAGATTTGGGATTTTTATCCAGTAAAATATTAGATATCAATGCCTTTGTTTCTTCTTCCCTTCCAAACAGCATCACGTTCAACCTTGGTTTTGGTGCTAAAATGACAAAATATAATTTTTGTCAAATTATTTATTATTTTGAAATCTACACAGAAATGATATAGGGTTTTACACAATGGTAAGTAACTTGCAGCTGCAAAAGTAAATTCCAAATCTCCAAAAGTTTATTACAGTCATTATTTATATTAGACATCAATTTAACACCTACATTTAACAGTTGTTGCGCTATTAACTCACTACTATCTCTCCATAAACAGACCTGTCCTGTTAATCAGTTTCTTTCTCTCTCTCTCTCTCTCTCTCTCTCTCCCTTTATTTGAGCCCCTGAGCAACGTCTGCCTGAGTTGCCACATGTGAGAAACCAGAGCTGCTAGGGTCACCACAGCTCCATCTCTGTTGGCTGATCTGCACATCACCTGCATGAACTGACCCTGCTGCTGCTGCTGCTGCATGAATTCAACTATCTAATTAACCATTGCTCCACCTGTTTTTCCCTGTTTTTGTATTCTAATATTTTCTACTAATGCTGTTTACTATCCGGTGTCAACCAGAGGAGGATGGGTTCCCCTTTTTGAGTTCCTCTCAAGGTTTCTTCCTTTTACTCGTAAGGAGTTTTTCCTTGCCACTGTCGCCATTGGCGACACTCATGGGGTCTTGGACCCGGAGTTTTCGGTAAAGCTGCTTTGTGACAACGCCTGTTGCAAAAAGTGCTATATAAATAAACTTTGACTTGACTTGACATTTAAAGTGGGTTTCTGTAAACCCAGTTCCAGAAAGGTTTAACACTGTGTGAAATTGACCTGTACTAAATTGAAAACAGTACAAAAACACAACATTTGATATTTTACCTTATGAACTTCATTGTTTATTTGTAAATATGCTCCTTCCAAATTTAGTGCCTGCAACACATTCCAAAAACGTTGGTACAGAAGCATTTTTACCTCTGTGTTACATCACCACTCCTTTTAGCAACTCTTAACGAACGTTTGGGGAGAGAAGTCACAAACGTATAACGAGCCACTCTTTTTGAATGAACATCCTTGCTCATAAAAGGACTAGTTTTTTTTTTGGATGCTCCTTTTAACCTCAAGCAGGATTACATCACCTCTTCAAAAGATTTCTGAACATTTAACAGTTGTCCCTGTCCCAACTTTTTTAGGATGAGCTACAGGCATCTATTTCAGAATGAGCGAATATTTACAAAAACAAGGAAGTTCATAGGATAAAACATTACATATCTTGTCTTTCTACTGTTTTCATTCAAATATAGACCAAAAATGTATTTACTAATCACTGCTTTGTGTTTTTATGTGCATTGTACCTACCTCAATTGGGTTTGTAGTTTATCTATCCTTCATTAATCAGTAATCAATCCTTCATTATATTAAACCAGGTTACAGTTAGTTTCTTATTATTTCATAAAAAAACTGACTATGAATGACAAAAAATAGCCTATTTTTAATGTAGCCAATAGCACTTGTGATTCTCATTGTACTTTCATGCATGTTTGTTTGTTTTTTTAAATGAAGGTTTCTATCTGGATGGGGTGTTTTCTATTCAGGTGTTGTCTTATTATAATTATTCTTATTGGTATTATCTTATTATTATCGTCATGTGTCTATGTTTGATTGTGTAGCATGTATGCTGCTCTGTCAACAGAACAATAGGTTGCATGCAATAAATGTCACATAATCCTGGGAGCAGTATGTTTTAATTAACCATAAATTAAAGGTCTCTGTCTTGTCTCTGCCTCAACATCTTTTGGAATCTGTCTTATTTCTGGTCTCAGGGTAAGGTGGATTCAGAAACTGTTTTCATCTTGTTTTCATTTAATCATAAAAACGGAAGCATGTTATTCTGTTTATATTGAGTTGACTTTAGGTGGTGATTCTGAATTAGATTTAGAGAAGAACAGACAGAGAATAACCTCACCATCATTTCCGTCCAAAAGTTACAGTGCAAAGTTGGACTAAAACTATCATAATACTTGATAATATTTTTAGGCTACATATTCTTTAACAAAATGAATCATAAAATATAATGTTATTTATTAGCTTATATGATGTATAATGAATTATAATGAGGTACAAAGAAATGTTATTTTTTTTCCTACATTCTTTTTTTTATTTTTATATTCTGAAACAATATTTATATGGCCTCAGTCTTGTCTTGGTCTCACCACTCCTGGGCTCAGTCTTGATTTGGACATTAAGTGTTCAGGTCTCAGTCTTGACTTGGACTCGACTACAACAAAATGTTAGTCTTGACTCAGACTCAACTACTAAATAGTCTTTGTTTTGTCTTGGTCTTGCCATTCTTGGACTCAGTCTTGACTTGGACTCAACTACTTAAAAGTCTTGGTCTTGACTCTGACTCAATGTCTTCAGGTCTCAGCACTGAGTCAGACTTGGACTCAACTACTTAAAAGTCTTGGTCTTGACTCGGACTTGACTACAAAAAGTCTCGGTCTTGTCTTGGTCTCACCACTCCTTGTCTCGGTTTTGACTTGGAGTCAACTACTACAAAATCTTGGTCTTGAGTCAGACTTGATGTGTTTAGGTCTCAGTCTTGACTCAGACTCAACTATGACAAAGTTTTGGTCTTGACTCGGACTCAACTACTACAAGGTCTTGGGTTTGACTCGTTTATTAAAAAGTCTTGGTCTTGACTTGGACTCGACTACTACGAAGTCTTGGTCTTGATTTGGACTTGACCACTACAAAGTCTTGGTCTTGATTTGGACTCAACTACTACAAAGTCTTGGTCTTGACTTGGTCTCATTTTGCAATATCAGGATGTGATTGCCTCTGGTGGTCTTGACTACAGTGCTAGTATATATACTGTACTGTAGTTTGTCTCTGTACTTCATGACATACGTGAATGAAAGCACCATATGGGCCATTTCTTTAATAATACAGGCTTCTGACATCAGATTTTTTTCCAAAGTGTGTGGGGGGGGGGTTAATTGGAAATTGAAGCAAAGCTGGAATAACTATGATAATACAAAATCTAAAACATGTTTTGAGTGGCTGGAAAGAGTGCAATAAGTAAACAATTTGATTTCCTTGGTCATGAATATTTGAAATAAACACCTTAGGTGTTTTATTATGCAACTTTTACTTACCACATAAATGTTTCTTAATTTTGTTAAATAACATATGTTTCTTCCCTGTGGGTTTCTTTGGTTCTGTATGCTCTTTAGCTTCTTTATGTTTCTGTGCTTCCAGTTCTTCTGCTTCCTCATCCTCCAGCTCTTCTGTTCTGTGCCAAGACACGCTTTGTTCTGTTGCAAGCGGAGCCTCCTTATACACTTCACAGGTCAGGCTTCCTCCATTCTCGTGAACTATCTCCTCCAGCATCTCCACAAACACAGCAGGACTAAATCTACTTAGCTCCAAATATCTGTTGCTGCATTCTATAATGACCCTCTGTACAGTGCTCTCCTCATCTGGATCTACGCTGGTGCCAATTTCCATGATTTGTGTTGATAGCACCATGGTGTACTTACGGGCCTCTTCAGATAGAGATCTGAGAACTGTATGTGCTCTGTTTCGGTCTATCTCAGTGAAGTTGTCTGGCTGTAGGATCAGAACAATCACATGAGGTCCCGGAGCGCACAGAGACAAGGACTCTTCCACTCGCCAAGTCAGTTCCTCTTGACCGAGGTTAGTTTCAAACAGACAAGGTGTATTGATGAGTGTGATGTATCTTTCTTGCACCTTTCCTCTGGCTCTCTCACTGTGCTGTTTTACTGAAGGAAGAGAGTCAGTCTCGTATGCATCTCTTCCCAGAATGGTGTTTCCCACATGGCTGTTGACTGGCCCATTCTTTCCCATCAGAATTATTCTAAATTCAGACACTGAAAAATGAAGAGAAAAAATCAACCTTAACCATACGTGAATATATTGTATTAAGTTATGACCACATTGAATCCACATGTTCTGCTGGAGGTTGTAAACACACCTACAATTGTAGGTACCTAAGCAAGTCAGCACAAAGCAGTATTTCACACCTAAAGCATGACCGTTGAAACCACAGGGGCGAGTGAGGATTTGACCCACCCCTTTTTTAAAGTACTGAGGTGATGCCCCACCATTTTTTTGTGCCTTTACCAGCAAGCTGATTATTGCAGCACGTGGGACTTTCCCTGTAAACAGATGGCAAATTGAGAATTATGAGCATTCTCATTCATTTTTCAAGGAGTGAACTCTCCTATTCCATTATAATGTGAAGACTTTGACTGAATCCAGTAAATCCACAGTTTCTAAACATACAGCGACAGAGTTTATAAATAGCTTTACTGGAAAATGTTATTTAGTCAATCAATGGCCCAGTTGTCTTGTCAGTCAGAGACTTTTGTCAGTCAGTTAGCTGCAGTTCCACTAGCACACTTCTTTTGTTTTGCCCGTGACTTTTGTTCTCTCAGTCTATTGTCGTGCCCTAAGCAAACCCTATTACTTATAACACAGCATTAATTTAATCTCACAGTCTTACAATTTATCTGCATTTAATAATTATTCTATTTCAGATCTACAAAAAGATGTCAGACGCTGTATTATTTTGAAAAAGAAAAAAAGCTTCAA